TTATCTCACATACGTGAACTATTAGCATTTGCTGAAGTAGGAACATGCAAATATGGCAGTTCTTGAAAGGTTGGAAAGGCAGGGGAAGGAGTATATAGAAGTGTATACGTGAAAAAAGAACCTGCAACAATAATGCATGTAATGGATATCGACAAAGCATCACTTACAGTGACATACTGATTATAGTTAAGCTCTAATTACATACTCCACAGATAATTTCTGGTATTTAAGCTAAAACTCTAACTTTAGTTCAAAATTTCTAACCCATAACTGCTGCCTACCTACATTCTGATCCACTCTGTTTTACCCTGCCGTACACAATCGGGAGCTGACAAGAAGAGCAAGTTTCCTCTCTGATTTCACTGTGTAGTGATGATTTCCAAAGGACGAATGGTGGTTTAGTGAAAACACACTCGCAAGGTTATCCTTGAATATGGTAAACAGTTTAACAGAATTGTAAACAATACTCAAGTCCCAGAAAACTGTAATTAAACTTAACTCTACTGTGCTACAAGAAACACTGTGAGCAAAGACCTTTACAGCTGCTTCATGCTTGGTTTGTGGTTTGTTTTGCTGGGTTTTTTTTTCCCAATTCTTTTACTGCAGAGTTGGCAGTACTGTTAAGAGCAGAACAGACAAACATTTCCCTTAGGTATAGGTTAACGAGCCTCTCCAATCACATTCATTATCTCAGCAATTTACTTTTTCGTAAGTCTGTATGCGCGAAACTAAGACACATTTCTAAATGTTAAAACATTTCTGATCAGTTAAACGTGAAGATTGTAACTGCAGCTATTCGGATCTCTCTGCTTACCTTATAGGGCCCAAGCAGTTGCTTTTTGTGCACATGAAACACATTTGCTTACAAAGAAATGGTGAAAAATCACAGCAAGGGATTCTAAATACAGTTCACATCCTGCGTGCTAAAGCGTAACACCATAGCTGTGACAAGGACTGTGACCATGGCATACAGCCCGTGGCCAAGGCGGGGCACACGTGAAGCAGCTCTGAAGCTACTACCCTTCGCAGGAATTTGGGATAACCATGGATATGGAAGGGAACTCACGTGACAGGACACAGCAGTGGGGACCAGGTTGTGTCCTCTGCTGTACGCTTAGCAAAACAGACAGCCTGCTGGAGAACACGCATTCCCTTTCCTCTGCTGGATACCCCGCAAGAGAGATGGACCAATGGAGAAGGTAGGAAATCTTTCTTTACTGGGAAATAGGGTCTCAGGAGTTCCTTCTCCCCAAAGATCTGCTTTTTAGGTAGGGAAGCGCTCAGAGTAGGTCTTACAGGCAGCAGGATGGGATTCTAAGGTGAGAAACTTCTGTAAGGATAGTAGGTCAAAAGTTCCTTCAGCCAAAGGCAATTAAAGGGTACCATCTCTTCCCTCTTCCTTGTAGCTCCTAAAATCTCAGGGGATCAGCAGAATTACTAGTGAATAGGGCCTGGGTAAGTACAATTTTAAAAACCAGCCTCATTCCTTACGTCTCCCCCACCCCAAACGAGCAATGGCAGTCAGTAGAGTGGATGTTCTCTGTGACTGAGTGTTCAGAAGAGAGCAAAGAATAAAAAAATAAATCGAGTACTTGCTGATCCAGCTAATACGAAAGTCAAGGAAATTAACAAAGCTCCTTGAGAAATGTCACAGCTTTCTGTTATCTGAGGGGAGCACTCTGCACTGGATGGGAAGGCTAGGAAAAGGCTGCAAGACACCAAACTTCACTTAAAAACAAAATCACGGGTTATTAGAACTACTTATTAATTAACAGGAGAATCTCTTCCTTTACACTTGATAGGTTGGGAAGTATTTTGTCAGCAGCAATGCAGAAGTCTCAGAAAAGCTTTTTATTTTTTTTTAATACAAGGTATATTCATTCACTTATACAAAAATTCTGAAGGTAAGCAAGTGAAAAGTGATCATATTCATATGATTTCCAGTCTGTTTGATTTTGTCTTGAGAAAATAAATGAAACAGCTTCCTGGAATAGCGAGGAGGATTTTATTATTCATGGAAAAAAGCATAATAGACCAACATGCATAAGTCATGAAGAAATAACCTAAACACAACCTACCGGTACTCCCTGTTCCAATCAGAAGAAAATAGGAACATATAGTCCATCGGTTATTTTAATAGTTAGGCAGACATTTGACTTGGTTAAATCTGACAGTTTAAGACACTAAGCCAATATTCTCATTAAGAAAAATAACAGCATTGCCACTGTTATTGGTGCTTCTCCTACTGTAAAGTACTACTGTATGTGTTGAAATCACAGAGCGCCTTTGATGTCTGGTTCAGATTTCCGCTAAAAATTCAGTTTGTCAATCCATATGCCTACATATTGATTAAGTACTCCTGGTAATAGTTCAATGTTTCAGGTTGAATAGGCACTAAGGCCAGTTTTCAAGACTGACAGGGTAAACAAAGTTCACCCGTCTCAATCATAGGCCATTCATCAGCTGCATTAATTTTTTCTTTTACCTATATATTTGACTATTTATACTTCTATTTCAAAATAAGATGCAGTCCTGATCGCCAGGTGTGTATTACTTCCTAAAATTAGTGCATATACTTGCTGATGTCCATCAGCCATTTTAAAGAATTAAATAAAGTATGTCCTAAACTCTCGTAATGGTACTTGTGAGCTACAGTTTTTGTGAAGCAATGAAAGCACAGAACATATCTTCATATGTAAACAGTTGCTAGGCATTTATTCCTTTTCTTTATAGTCGTGTTGACTTTGGGTATAATAATAAACTTTGCTTTCAGTGGAGTCCCACAGGCATGATTATTACAGGATTTACTGCCTTGTATGAATCACTGAAACAGCACTTAGGAAGGGAGCCTGAAATGAAGATTGTTGTATAAGTAATATAACCGCTGGATATTCAATCACAATTGAGGAGTTTGAGAAGGTGGTGTTTTGTTGTTTGGGTTTTTTCATTTGTTGTTGGGTTGGGGTTTAAATCTCAACAAATGGAGACAAGAAACTGACATATTATAATCAGAAAATCAAACTCTCTACAATCAGCATTTGAAGCCATACAGCCCAGGAATGAAATAATTATTTTTCATAAACAATAGAATTTGGCCCGACTTTCAGCATGGATTTCACTTAAATTTTAAATTTAAACCTACATCTAAGATTCACTTGATCTGAAATTTGATTTGTGTGTAGCAAACTGTAACTTTTTGGGGGGCGAAGTTTCACAAAGAAATAATAAATGCATTTCATGGAAAACAAGTTAGCAGAAAGAAGAAAGTGGGGAAAAACCCACAAAACCCAAAACCGGAGGAGTTTATGTTTTTCAGCACTCAGAGTGTACATAAGCTTCAGATTGGATACTGATATTAATTATAGAATCACAGCCACCCTCACAGTGAAAAATTTCTTCCTAATATCTAATCTAAGACTGCCCTCTTCCAGTTTAAATCCATTACCCCTCGTCCTGTCACTGCCTGCCCTTGTAAAAAGTCCCTCCCCATCTCTCCTGTAGCCCCCTTCAGGTACTGGAAGGGCTGCGATAAGAACTCCTCGGAGCCTTCTCTTCTCCAGGCTGAACAACCCCAACTCTCTCAGCCTGTCCTCACAGGGGAGGTGCTCCAGCCCTCTGACCATCTTTGTGGCCTCTGAACCCACTCCAACAGCTCAACGTCCTTCTTGCGTTGGGAGGTGCAGAGCTGGACGCAGTACTGCAGGTGGGGCCTCACGAGAGCAGAGTACAGGGGGAGAATCACCTCCCCCGACCTGCTGGCCACGCTTCTCTTGGGGCAGCCGACGATCTGGTTGGCCTCGTGGGCCACGAGCGCACACTGCTGACTCACGTTCAGTTTTTCATCAGCCGACACCCCCAAGTCCTTCTCCTCAGGGCTGCTCTCAATCCATTCTCCTCCCAGCCTGTATTTGTGCTGGGGATTGCCCTGACCCACGTGCAGGACCTTGCACTTGGCCTTGTTGAACTTCATGAGGTTGGCATGGGGCCACCTCTCCAGCCTGTCAGGGTCCCTCTGGATGGCATCCCTTCCCTCCAGCATGTCACCACACCACACAGCTTGGTGTCATTGGCAAACTTACTGAGGATGCACTCGATCCCACTGTCCATGTCGCCAACAAGGATATTAAATAGCACCGGTCCCAGTACCGATCCCTAAGGAACACCACTCATCACTGGTCTCTATTTGGACATTGACCCATTGACCTCAACTCTCTGAGTGCACCCACCCAGCCAATTCCTTATCCAGCGGGTGGTGCATCCATCAAATTGGAAAATTCTTTGACAGACTGAATTACAGATGCAGTACGTTACCCTCCACACACACCCCCCCAAATCCTGGCATGAACCACAGGAAAGATACCATAGAATAGATTTGTGCTTCAATTAACAGATATTGATTATTTGCTGAAGGAAAGATATATACTCAAGATCAGATGCAGCTGAAACACAAGGATAGTTTCACTAGTTAAATGCATTTTATGGTATAAGAGATTTCAGTAGCATTAGGAAGAGTTTATGAATTCTTCATTTTTCCCCTTTTCAGTGTGATAATTTGTTGAGTAAACTACTACAGAATACAAATCATATTGACAGAATACGGCAAGTCAATTATTTCCCCTTCTGCTGCTATGTGTTGTTAGCCATTAATTAGCATGTCATTTAATTATGCTGAGATCTGCTGACAAGGTTGGAAGGTCTGTGCTGTTTCTGTGGGCCACCTATTCCCTATGTTGGAGATTACTCAGTAATTCTTTTTAATTTTATTTTTATTCTTGAAACTTGCCACTTCAGCTATCTGGTGTAAGCAAGTACAGGGGGAGATTACTGTTTGTTTTTGAAGTACACAGCACACTTACTTGCAAGATTAAGTACCTGATTAGCCAATAAATGTTAATAGAAGATATTTTACTCTACAAATAATTGTATTCTGGTAACTGACAGTAATGATTTCTTACATTCCCCTTATTTTTCAGATGATGCACAACTCTAATGGTGGCAACTTAAAATAGACCTCGTATTCTCTCAGCTACAACATGAAAAAGACCATACTGAATATTAAAAAAAAGATGCTTACCTGACCGCCCATCCCGTTGAAAATCCACGTGGTACCATTCACCATCATTCACCTTCTTCTGCAAGGCTTTTATTTTTATAGTACCTGATCCCATGTCTAACAGCAGGTAGAGGTGGCCATCAAGCATCTCAATAGCAAAAAAGTCAACCTTCACCATCTGTGGGTGTTTGGCATCTTTTTGGTGCCTGGGTTTTCCATGACTAAAAAGAATCAGGCCATTTGGCTCCGTTGTACGAAAGTCAAACGATATTGAGCCTGTTTTCTTGGCATTCCACTTTGGCAAAGAGATGAAAGACTCTGGCGTTTCAAACGTGATTGGATCTAAGGTTGCGACATTCTCACATTTAAATGCTACAACCCCGTGAATCTTCATTTTAGGATCTCCTTGCTTGGCAAGTCGAGATAACTCCAACCTGACATCGTTATTTTTGTACACAACCTGCAAGCAAAGCAGAGAACTTACTAAGAGGAACTTGACCATTTTAATCCAACAGATATAATCCTGAAGAGGCTTATTTAAAGGATAATAATGATGGTATATGAATATGATAATTTACACACACACAAAATTGAATAACTATTTCCATTGACTAATGATTTGATAAGTTTTCATTAAACCAAAGTTGCTCTAAAAATATCCCCAGAGTTAATTCAAACAATCTGAAAGAATCTGCACATAATTTATACTATCAGTCGTAAATCAGCTTGCATAGCCCTGATTGCTTAAAAGCCCTCTCTGCACAGCCATTCTGCTACGTTAGAGAAGTATTAGATTTCTTCTTCCTCTAAACCCTTTGTCCCTGTCTTAACTCTTTTCTTCATGTACAGAAAATGTTCCAAGGTCAGATACTTTATAATTTAACAGCTTTTCAGTTTGTCCTTGGGTCTGAGGAATAGCAGCATCCATGGCATTCATGAAGCTATAAAATAGGGAAACTGGTGTATTGCAGATCAGAACAGGGCATCTTTGAGCCAGTTCAATTGGACAAAAAACAAAACCACTTATGTATTTTCCCTGACTGAGGACTTTTCTGATAGAAACGAAAGAGAATATTAGTTTTAAATCCAATTGACCTCCACAGCAAATATTCTTGCTTCAAATCATGTATTTGCTCTACCCAGAGAAGCCTGTCATGATATAACCATTTCCCAGGGTTCTGGTCTTTATTAGGATATTCTGAAAACACTGCTATTCCTGTGCTGTCCAGGATACAAGGACTGCTTAAACAAAGCACTCGAATAGCAGAGGTGTGCACAAGTGTTTTGTCAATATTTTTTACTGTTCAAGAAATTATATACTCAAGCTAAAATACCACTGAAGAGCTGAACACGAATGCATGGCCACAGAAGCTAAAACCTAAGGTTAAGCCTACATCAGAAAGCAATTTGGAGCAAAAGCAACAGCTCAGCAGATGTAAGCACTTTGTGCTGAGGCTTCTTCATCTACAGGTTCTATACCATTTCTAGATCATGGCTGGCCCCTGGATCCAGCGCTCCAGCTATACAATGCAGCCTGAAGCTGATCAGGGGACCCGTCCCTGGTTTAGACCTTACAACCCTATATTAGAGGTGAGAAAGTGCTTACTGAATACTTAGGATATTTAAAGATAACAGAACACTAAAGAGATGATTGATAGATCGATAATTTTTTACTGTAAGAACTGTGTTCTTTCAAATTATAGCATTATCCACCCATCAAATTTATCATAAACCATGGAAGAATTATTCTACTACATTAAAAATGTGTCCTAAAAGCTAACAAATAAGCCTATTTCTACATTTTATTTCAGAGTTCAGTACAAATACTGCTGCTCCCACTGGAGCTGTGTCTCCAATGACAATAAACAAACCTCACTGTGGATTCCTGACAGCAGAAGTGATCCTGTGCCATGGAGAGGCGGATAACGTGCTGCCTTCTTTAAGCGAAAACACAAGAAGTGACTAGAACTGGACCATCTTGTAATCTTAGGGAGTAAGGATTCATATTTGCATTTGTCAAACACTTCTGTAACACCCCAGAGATTGCAGATTATGCAAAGGAATTTAGGAGAGCACTGGAAAATAAGCACATACAAGTGATCTCCCGTTAGGGTGACTTTCTGTCTTTAGAGCAAAGCAAGCCAAAAGGCAGAAGAATGCAGCAAGACGCCAGCAGCCTGGCAGGCGAGCCTACTTAAGAGATATTTCATCTCATGAAACATTGGCCACTTTCTACAGTGAGAGGGATTTTGGATAGCTTCCACCTCATTTGAAGGAGTTACAGGGGGCAACCTTTCTAGAATAGACCGAAAAGCATTAAACAGAAGCTAGAGGATAGGATAAAAAAAAGGAACAGATGGGCTTCTCATTAGAATTAAATCATGCTGTTGACAACAGAAGTAATTAAGGCAACAAAGAACACGAGGAGAAAATATTCTTTAATTGCCTACTGAACAAAGGTAGGTACCAGGACAATGCAAATAAATGTACAAAGATAATTTCTTGTTTATGGACAAACTCAAATTGTCTGCTGTTAATGAAAACTGGTCGATTGAATAATGAAATTAGTAGTTAATAGCTATACTAGAAAAATCGAGCAGACAAAAGGAGCGCTAAGCTTTTCCCGCTGTCTAAAACAGCTCTATAGGCTTTCAAGTCATTTGCCAACTCAGAAACCATAACTTGTAATAAATATCGTTCCAGGACCCGATGGACAAAGTGCAGACAGGAGTACCAGCAATAGTTTCTCAGTAAGTCATCACCACCTCTTTAAGTAGCTTGACAGATAACATATGAGGGAAAAATTGCTAGAGCACTTCAGCAAGAGCAGTAAATATTGGTAATTTCATGCCACCAATATTAAAACATTATTGGAATCCCTAAACATATTGCGATTTCTTACCTCCATATTCCACAATTAAAACTTCGTAATTCCTGAAATGTGAATGATTGCATCCTATTGCATTCATTTTGTGGAACACACCTACACTTATGGTCTAAGTTTTAGGATGTTTATGTTCTTTTAATCTTGCAAAACTAAAAATTTGGAACCGAATTATCATGGATAATTAGTATTAAAGCAGGAATATATAACCATAACTGAAAACCACAACTGAAAAGAACTGTAAATTATTAATTGAACACAGCTGGCATTTGGAAGCCCCTTTCCTGCTGTTATGCTCAGATTCTTACCCCTCTCCCCATCTCCCTGTCCATGAATGATCTACTCAGCCATCAGCGAAGAACAGCAACAAGGAGAAAAGCAGTATGTTCACAGAAAGAAGTAGTCATTAAATTCCAGGAGAAGAATTGAACAGTAAGGAATAATTCCAAGACTAATATCTGCTTTATAACACATGGAGGTATATGCTTCAGAACTGATAGCCTCTAGGGTACAAACAGTTTACTAATTTATCATTTTCCAAAGATCCTGCCCTTTAATTTTTTTGCCTTCAGGGTACGTAAGGACAAACATGCTTTTAATAGGGCTTACATTATCCACTGCTATTTCCATCTAAGACCCCCAACAATGTTACCTCAAGACATTCTCCCTCCAGTAGAGACCTGGATCCACAATTAGTCAAGTGAAGGTAATTTGCAATGGAGAAATATTTCAGTCACATTCACCTTTACTCCTACACAACCTATCCTTGCACCGCTATGTGCTTCCCCAGCATCTTTTGGACTGGCCCTGGTAATAACTCGCTTGCTCTCGCACTCGCTCTCATACCTGAGCAACAGCAATATCATTTCCCTGCACGCCAAACTGCCAGCCCTCAGCGAATTGTATCGTGCTACTAAGAGAACCGTGAATTTGTCTTCTATTCACTGTATTCTCTCCTCTTAAGTAAGATTCAAGACCTCAGTCTTTAAAATATATCTAATCACCTCATTCTTGGAAACTCCAAAAGGTCACCTCAATTCCCAAGAAAAAAAAAGCAGCTAGCAATTCCCTGCGTAATTTGCAACCAAGCTATCCAAAGCAAGGAATAAATTTGTTTTCCAGGAGAGAAAGGGCAGACCTACATATCATTTTACTATCAAGATACACGCTCCCTTTGCTACCATCTAGGCCAACCACATGCCGAGTAACTTTCAGCATCACAGTGCTGACACTTAAAAAGTAAGCCCAGCTAAGAGACAGCAAATATCCCTGTCAGCTCAGCACTCTCTTGAACATGGTCTGTGGTCATCTTGGAGCACAAGCAAAATTAATTCATGCTTCCCAAAGGTATATCATATATAAAATTTATCGCAATCCAGGGCCCTGGTATGCAATGAACTCTAGAAATAGATTAAGAATTCATTACAGATCTTGCCAATCGCCATGGCAGGTGCCTTCAACAACAAAAATATAGCAGAGCCATCAGTGAAAATATATTAACAAATTGGCAATGTATAAATGTACGAATGACTTTGAGAAAGGCTGAAGGAGAAGGAATTTACTGTTGATGTTAAAGATCTGTCCTAAATGTACAAGAGTTCACATGTAAAATCAAAAAGTCGCGATAATAAAAAGATTAATATCAACAAAGCCCTACCCTTCTTCTGATCCTATCCCATGACATTTAAAACTCAAAGTGCAGCCCTTTCCACATTAAGATTGCTTTTTATATTCTGTACACCAAATGCTGTAAGTGAAAAAATCCCGTTACACTTAAATATTTCAGAATACTGACCAACTCTGCTAGCAACAGCCTTTCAATCACTGTGATTAAAAGCCTTTAAATTACCATGAAGCATTTCTTACAAATTACTTTATATTATTAAAACCAAATATGATCCTTCAGGAGCTAATCCCATCACCTAATTTGCAGCATCTGGGGTTCCTTGAGAACCAAAGGGAACCCAGGAGTTCACAGCACCTCCATGACGATCTTGCTCTGAAGAGCTTGTCTATTTGCTTCATAGAGATGGGTGGAAAAAATACATTTTAAAATGCAATTTGAATGAGTGGATGAATCCAGTCTCTAAATCTGTTATAAAAAAATTAATTAAATCCTTACGTTACTATAAAGCAGTATTTTCATATTTTCATGAAGTCTGGATCCCCTAGCGCAAACAATGGCAGCTAGTTCTCTGAAACGGAGACTGGTGTCATCCAAAATGGCTCAGGTAGGTGCTGCTAAACTGCAGTTTTATGCTGCACTGTGAAGTCAGTGGGACATAACTTACCGCTGTCAGAAATTGTAGCAATGGACAGTAACTAAAGCCTGAGGCAATTTTCCCAGCAGACCTTACCAGCCACCATGCTCATTGAGAACTACCTGGTGCATACGGCATCACACTCCCCAGAAATCCCAACACAAAACTGACCACAGAGTTATCCTGTGTTTTTTCAGTATTTGCTGAATGGGTTTGAACTAATCCATGAATGCCAGGTCCTCCCAGGAGGCTTGCCATTTTGCTAATACGCTTCAGTCCTTTTCTAAGCTCTAAAATGAAGATATCAAGGAACAC